GTGCTTCTACTTATTTCTCTGTATCTGAGTGAATATTTAATATGGTTTCGGTCATTTCAAAATAATTTTAAATTAAATTTAAAAAATAGAGTAGAACGATTCCAAGGAACGATTACGAGGAAATGTGCTTCTCCTTACATCTCTGTATCTGAATGAATATTTAATATGGTTTCGGTCATTTCAAAATAAATTTAAATTAAATTTCAAAAATAGAGTAGAACGCTTCCAAAGGACGTTTACGAGAAAATATGTTTCTCCTTACTTCTCTTTATCTGAATCAACACTGAATATGAATTTCGTTTCGCTGGTAAAGAAATCATCTCCAAGTTTTGCGAAGCATTCCCAGAAAACACCCTGTATATCTAATATTTTATCTACTTTTTAACATATTTACATTTAATTAATAAATATACACACATGAAAATAAACAGTTTGAATTTAACAGAATGATTTCCAATGTCCTTCGGAATACTTTTCTGACACATATAATGTTATGTATAATTTTAAATGAAATCTAATCTCGGCAAGAAAATATACAGAACTTTTAAATGTTCTACATATTCTTAGATAAAATAAACATATCTAATAAATCAAGAAAAGAAAACCTTAAAAAGTCAAATTATTTTTCGTCACATCCGGTAAAATACTGCACTGATGCTTCCATCTGTCGTTTATGGTGAGTTAATGTCATCCATTAACAAAAATTCTGCAATTGAATTGCGTAGGAGTCCCCTTTAGTTTGAGGTTGATAATGAAATCATGATAGATTGTTTAAAAATAAATCGCAATTAATGTTCAAACAAAATAATACGATGCTTTTTACGTAAGTACATTTTTGTCACAAGCTCAACGTTAAATAAAACTTTTAAAATCTGGACGTTTGTTGATGCGAAGATTGTTGCTCATTTGCTCGAGCTACCTACTTTAATGGCTTATCAAATCTGGTTCAAGAGTACATACAATAAATTTTGTTGCTGCTTTTTTAATGCTGTTTATATATATTTTTTAAAAAAATTAATTCATAGCAAAAAATATTTATTTTTGCAGTTTAAACTTAAATTTTTGTTTTCTCTTTAAATCATTTCATGTTTTTGGTAGATGCACACGTACACTTTTCATAAGCCGAGTAAGGACACATTAAAGATTTTAAAGAATTGCTGAAATATATATTTAAAAATTAATATAAATTTGAATTTAAATTTTGAGTAATTAGTAATTATCTCACAATTATTTTCGATTTAAATGCATTCGTGACGAAATGCAAGTGGAGAAATTGCCGCTTATCAAATGCATAATCGCTTTGTATTGACCTGGAAAGGCAGCCATTGGTACATTCTTTACAATAACTCTATTAAGAACATTTTTCAATAGGTAAGCTTTCTAAAAGCAAATTATATGAAAATGCATAACTATAAGTATAAGTAAAAGACTTAAATAATGTTTTTGTAAATATGATACACTTACTCCTTTTTTGGGAGGACAGTCGCGATCATTTTTAGCTAGGTTATTCATATAGTCATACCAAATTTCGGTTGGATCAAAAACAGACTTACAAAAATCATTACGTCTTATTGAAATGGACGTCTCGACCCATTGTCCATGCTGCCAACGTAAAAGTTCCAACTCAACTCTTATTGGTACATTTTTTGGCATATTACCTTTCACCATAATTTTACCATTTGTACGTACAGTTTCAAGATCATCGCTATATTCGTGCTTTAGATTGCTAACATCAAGGATTGTCATGATGTCTACATTTCCTTTATTATCCTCCTTGCTACAGCGTGTGAAGAAACAGCTGTCATCGCCTATAATTTCATAGTCAGTTGCCTTTAAAAAATCAGAATTCAATATTTTAAAAATTTTGTACAAATTATAGACTTCCACTTACGTTAATTTGATGGGAAATAAAAATTACAAGAAAAATGCAAAGCCAGTTAAGCATTTCGGGTTCCAATTATAACTAAACTTAAACGGCAAAATTGGACTAAATTTATAGTTTATTATATTACTTTTTTTTGATAATTTTAATTATTGTTAATAATATGAACCATTTTATCGGCAACTACTTCAAATACAAATCGTTATTAATTACATTTAAACTATTTTTAATTACTTGTCATTTAATTGCTTTAATTAGTTTAGCATGTAAATCATTTCTATTTGATAATAAATTAACACTTCGCTTTCTTATCAAAAAAATATTTAATACATCACAGACAATATTAACAATATTCAAAGCACTTATAATTAATTAAATTCTGTCAATTAAATTTAAATAAAATAACGAATAATGTATAATAGAGTATGCCCGTATAATTCAGTGCTATATAATTATAATCGATCCAATTGAAGCGAAGTGTAATGAAAAATTTTTGAATGATTTATTCAGCAATGGTCGAATTTTAATATTAATAATTGTATTTAAATAGAAAACTTAAGTCTTCTATTTATCATTCTATCCTTAATCCTTATCTGTTGTCTATTATCTATCCTTTATCGTAAGCCCAATCCTAAAATGATCTATGATAGAAAGTCTAAGATGCTCTAAAAAGTCAGATCTTCGCATATGCAGCCTACATAGTGCCTGCATTGTCCTGAACAATGACAAAGCAGCTGTGAAAGACTTTCCTTACCGAAAGTGATCTATCAGTAAACACAATACAAAATGGATATCTATACGTGAATTGATTGGGTATAAGAAATTGTCTTAAGAAACTTTTGAATCTGAACAATAACTTAAAACCTGAATACTCGAATACTATATTATAGAGAATTTCTTACCAGTAATTTTTTTCTCAATATTTAATATTGATATACTTTTCTAGTATTTTGTATACAACATTTAGAAATTTAGACTCAATATACCATATTGATGAAGAAGGTCCTGAGATACACGTTTTGTAATATTTTTCCATACTGCAATAAAATCTTCTCTCAGCGAATTAGTTACGCTTTTCAGTTTTGAACTCATATAGATACCTGGTCAAAAAAATATCTCGAGCAACTTAAATAAGATGAATTTTTCAAAGCAGACATGCTGATTTCTTCTGGGCAATTAAAAGTAAATACCAAGTAAATAGCAAACCTGGTCTAATTCTTACAATATTCGTACAATATGACGTCATGAAATAACTTACGTACTACACATACAAACTTATGTACTGAATTTTTATTGAGCCCATCGTTACATTTAAAAATGAGTTACATGACTATTTAAAAATTAAAGTAATTAGTAATTCTAAGATTAACATTAAATTATCTTTACGAATTGCTTCAACACCGTTTACATTAGGCCAATTCCTTTGATAAAAAATGTTAAAACCATAAATCATTTTGAAATCAACAACCAGAAAACAAGATAAATCCTCTTTTTCTGCGAAAATTTATTTATTTTATAGAGTAAATACACAAACGAAAACAATTCCTTTATATTTGCAAAGCATTTAATAATTTTAAGAATTAAAAAAGTCTAATATAAAGCAATCGTACTTTTAAGAGTGCTATGATTTATATGAAAGGTGGCGGAAACACTGTTGCAAAATTCTGGACTACGAAATTAGCATAATCTTGACCTCGTCTGCTCATTTGACTCATGGCAACAGGTATTTACTTTTTTTAAATTAATCTGAATAGATAAGATTGCGATAGGATTAAATAAGAGACCAAACTAACACCAGCTACTTATAGTCTTAAAATTTCTGAACAAATACTTATAGTAAAATAAGCGTGTGCATCAAAATAATCATAATACCAACTGTCTTATTCTAAAAATCTGTTAATCCTACAAAAATTATGTGATAAAATTTTATTTGGTGATTTACTCACACAGTGAGTCAAATTTCAGTTAATTGTTCAAAAATATTATCTTGCTTCAAGAGATATTTTTCTACAATATATTACCAAAAAGGATCATTTCACTTTTATTTCAATAATGGACTAACATTTGATTCAATGAAATCATACTATATCTTTTTTAGTTGTTTTTTTTATATCTTAATTATTACATATGAGTTGCACCTGATTCCTGTGTGCTATGGTCTTCGTAGCATTAATCATATATATAATATATGTAATTAATCACTATATAATCTTCTTCATGTAGATCGTATTTTAAACTTGTATAACCATTTTTATACAAACCATTCTTTTTGATCACATATCTGAACCATCTAATCTTTTTTATACCTCTACGGCTTGAATATCTATTGAATTTCAGAAGGTTTTTTTCATGTCATCTTGTTATGTTCTTCTATTTTTAAAATATACACTGTCACATCAATTTGAAAAGACTTTTAAATATAGAATAAATAGACAGATGACATGAAATAACCACACATAAACGTTATAGCAATTAACAAATATTAAGCAATAATTATTGTTCTGTTAAAATTAAAAAAACAAAATTTTTAGATTTTATTTATATTTTTCTATAATTTTATAACTAAAGATTTTTTTGTTTATAATTCAATAGTATAGTTATATAAAGTAATATAACTATTCGACAGTTTTCCAATCGGACTTGTTTTTTTTCTACTCAGTTTTGTACTGTACGAAATAACCGTATGGTCTAACATTCTCATATTCCTTATTACTTTTTAGAAAATAATTAAATGCAAGTAACTTTTAAACTATTTTAACTTGACTACAAATAAATACGGAAATGTACATAATGATATTATAGATATATGTAATCCTATATTAAAATCATTTTTAGATATATTATTACGTTATAAGCTACGTCAACTACGTAATAATTTTTTATATGAGGAAATAGAATAATGTTCTTATTGATATTATTGAATTTCTTTTTATATATTTATAAAATATAAACTTTATAAAGTTCTAACAAACATAATTACCCAAAGAATTTTATTTTCATGCTTTAAAATGTTCATTTGGTTTCTTTCAATTGTAGTAACTATCCAATACGTAACCAGTTACGATACGTTGACAGTAAACGCAAAATAATTTTAGTGCTGCCAAGTTGACAGCACCTTGACAGCTAATTTCAATCAGCTATCGGTGTGGATTTTCGTACGACATCTTGGCACGACATTAGAGTATTTGGTTATTTTGCTAAATACATAAATTTATTCAAATTATATATAAAAAAATTGCAAAATGACTCAAGCGTGGAGAGCAGCTGGTTTAACGTAAGTTTTAAGACTAAACTGTAAGATTTAATTGCTCTGTAGTGTTTTGAAACCATTACGTAATTTGTTCCAAAGTCGCTTAAGAAAATTTTTAATTTTACAATCAAATTTTCAGCTACATTCAATATTCTAATATTTGTGCCCGCGTTGTACGTGAAGCCCTCAAAACCGAATTGCGTGCTGAAGCAGCCAAAAGGAACGAAAGCCATGTTAAATTCACACCTTGGCTCAATGGTAAACCAGCACGTAAGTATCACGAGAAGTTATGTGATAGAAAAAGTTTTCGGATGAGAAACAAAGAACGTTTTCAGTATAAAATAGTGATCTTAATTTAAAATTATTTTTCTATCACATAAGATATTTCAAGTCGAAAAAGTATTTTTAATCTATACCATTTATTACTATTATTATTTTTATAATCAATTTACAGATGAGAAGTAGTTAATTTATATATTCTACATAAACTTCAGTGGGAGTAAGTTTAATGTGCTTGCACCAAAACGCAAACTTCAAAAATCCCATTTAATACTTAACAAAAATATCCTAAATATTTGTTATTGTCTGTTAAATTACTAAGCAAACCAGGCATTCTACTTATCTAACATGTGTCCAGAAATCAAAAAGAAGTTTTTTTTAATACATTAATTTTTAAGTTTTTCTTTAACACTTTATTATGTATACGTTTTACACTTCTTTATTGTCATTAATTTTTGTTTTTTCTACTTTTCAGCTCGTTCGCAATCCAGTGCTTAAATTTGGCTTTATGATTATAATCAATAATATTCATAATTTTAAATACCTTTCAAATAGATTTAAAATAAAATGAATTAAACCAAACAATTGTTTTCTTGTAAAAAATTTATTTTAAAAAGTAGTTATTACATTTAATGTATAATCACAAAAACGAAAATAAAATAGTAAAACTAATACTGCAACAAAAAAAGCAGAATTTAGAAAACGTGCTACCTGAAAATATATAAATTTTTAAGTGCAATAAATTTGTTACTACATTTAATTGCTTCAAATCAAATTAATTATGTATTATTAATTTAATTACAATTTTATAGTCAAAATTTTCCTGACTCTTTTGGTGCAATAACACAATATTTGATTCATATTTTACTAAAAATAATCTCAACACAATATTAACAATAAACCAATTGCGCTATATAAGTATAGCATATAATTACAAATGCTCATATTTCCAAAATGTATGAAAAAAATATTTAGAAATTTGGATTGAGTTAATGCATAATTCTGTTTTGTTGAACAAATACTAAGCATAAGAATTTCATAAATATTTTGTCGACAAAATAATAAATTGGTGTTGTATACATATTTCAAAATTATACTAATCCGAAATTAATAACGCTAATAAGGGCAATCATATGGCATTCTTAATGACTAACACAACACCAAAATATATTCACTCTTCGTCTTCGATTTTATAAAAGTGCTCCCATTTTTGTATTTCTTCATAAAGTTTACGTCCTGGGCTTTCTGTTGATGTACACTGACAATGACATATGAGTTTATATTTTGCAGATAAATGACCTTCCTCAACGCCTCTATATTAAAACAAACAATTCATTACAAAATCTGCATCAATAAAAATTAAATCTTACTTTTTTAGTAAATTTTTGCAGGTATTAAGGGCATTATCAGTAGGCAATTCACGCATGAAACAGCCAATGAAAGATATGCCTAACGAGTAAGCGTTA